CAACTTTCCTCTGCTTTCTTCGTGAAGAGATGACCCTCCCATCAGTGACAAAACCTGCACCTCCTCCTAGATACATCAGCTGCTGTTCCTGCAGCCATTCGTGTCCTTCCACCCCATCCAGAGCAGAAAAGCATCAGCCAGCAGCATCAGCCTCCAGCTCTTCCTGCGAGGAATGGCTCCCCCACTCCTGGCACAGGGAGGAGACTCACGATGAACTCCTCGTCAAGGAGCACAGCACTCCGTTCCCAAGGCTGGAGCAACGCTGATCGCTGTTCCAATTTTTCATACTGTAACAGGTAACCTGGGGCAGTTTAACAAAAGCTGGTTGTTAAATCCTGGTCCCTTGCAAACTTCCAGGGATGGAGATGTCCCTGTTTCTCTGATGACTTGTTCTAGTACTGTACTACCTTCCCAGTGAAGTACTCTTCTAGTTTCCGGATGTCCCAAATTGAACCTTCCAAGCTGCAATTTGTGGTTACTGCCCTTTGATATACCATCTCCTACTACCAAGAAAAAAATTGGCTTTGTCATCTTTGCAACTGCCCTTGAAGTAGTTGTAGACTACAATTAGATCCTCCCTTAGTCTCCTCCATGCCAGACTATACACACCCAACTCCACCAACCTCTCCTTGTAGGCCATATGCTCCATGCCTCTGGCTGCTTCAGTAGCCTTCTGCTGGACCCTCTCCAGATTCCTCCACATCCGTCTTGGACTGGGGCGGGGGGGAACACACACACCCAGAACTGAACACGCTATTCCAGGTGCAGCCTCACTAGTGCCAAGTAGAGATGGGTAATAACTTTCCTCCATCTGCTGGCCTCGCTCCTCCCAATACAACTCCCAACATAGTATGCAATTTGCCTTACTCGCAAGGAGAGCACACAACACATGGGCTTATATTCAATTTGGCACCTGCCGTAACCCCCAGGGCCTGTCAAGCAGGGCTGCAACTCTGCCCGTCGCCTCCCAGCCTGTGCAGAGACATGCGGTAGCTCCAGCCAGGTGCCAAGCTCTGCACCGTGTTGAACTCTGTGAGGTTCCTTCTAGCCCCATCCTCTCATCTATTGAGGTCCCTTGGGTTTGAAGCATTTGGAATGTCCACCACTCCCCGTCACTTAGTATCACCCTGTGTAAGAATTTAAAAATGACAAAACACGAGTGATATTTTAATTCCTTTGGTCACAAAGGAATTTTAATGCTGTTACTCAGCTTCTGGCTGCATTTTTCCCAGTTCTTGTTTGCTCCCATTTGGTCCACAGTCTCACTGAGCTGCAGTCCTGCCATCAGCCTCTTTTTGGCTGTCAGCAGCACCAGGAGAGGGATCCTGTCACTACGAGGTTTATTGCCAGTCTCTTGTTTTCTCCCTACGCCCAGCACCACAGGCTGGTGGGGACTGGCCCCTAGAGCTCCCCGGTGCCTTTGCATCAAAGGCAGAGGATACTAGTATGTCTAGTTCCCTTCTTCAAGTAACTACTTCTCCATCTTAAATATTTATAGATTGATAAACTGGTCTGTGCATCAAAAGCTGGACGCTGCTGGAGTTACTCCCACTCTTTCTTTCCTTACTCCTCCAAAAAAGAATCCTATTTAGCATGGAAATAGTGCATATATTGTATAGCGGTATATACTGGACAAAGAGGTGGTGTGGTGCTGTATCAGCTATAAGCAAGCTATGGACCTAAGCCAAAGGGTATTGAAACGCGTAAGAGGCTTTGGACATTACAACACGCCTAAGTTAACTCTTGACTAAACTAAGGATTGGATATTTGGCTCTGAAATCAGAAGTGCGCTTAGGCATGTGAGTGGTCCCACTGAAAGCGGTAGGACTACCTGTGGACTTAACATTACATACGTAGTTGAATAACATTGCACCTAGATCTGTTTTGGCATTGGTGGCCCCTAAATCAGATTTGTTGCTGAAAGTTTCCCAATGCTGCCACCTACTGAACAGGTTAACTGCAGCTTTCAACATAGCGGAGAAGAAAACTCTTAAAAAAAATGATAGATTGCGCAGTCAACCGTGGATACGATTCTAAATTAGCAATGTACAGGTCTAAACAGATAAGCCCAGAATCCTACCTGAGATTCTTAAATATTTCTCAAATATTTCCAAGGATAGTTCTATATATTAACTGTTAAAAGTCCACCTCTGGAAGGCTGCACAAAAATGGCAGGAACCTGTTAATTCAAATGAAATAATTCACTCAATAGACTCCTCACGTATCTGGAAGAGCAGCAGTGGCAACAGCCAGTCACAGGTTTTTCTCAGAGTGGGCATAAAACACAAAACAGGCTTCACAAGCTCCTGCTCTTCTCAGTAATTGTCACAGTGAAAATTCAGGGGTAAATTCAGGAAAAACACTTAGGGTTTTAGATGAGAAATGGAGAGGGTCAAAAGAGCTAATTTAATCAAGGAATGGTAACAGTTCCACATGGAACTAGATTTAAAATAAAAATACAAAAACGAGAAAACAAGCAGAGACAAGAAACAAAATGAGCTTCACTTCAGATAGGATGTGACCAACAGAAAATATTAAGTTATCAGAGAGCATCTTCTCACGAAAACAATGTGTTTTGATTCATAGCACTCTAAGAAAGCCTACAGACATTTACATCTCTTGGTCCACACACTTCTGCTAAGGTGTGAAACAATGGGCAAAGATTAAAATTCAAAAGCTTGCAAGTAGGTAAAACTAGCCGGAAAATAATTTTGAGATTATACACACCTGATGTGACTTTAAAACATCTTCCATCTTTTCTATTTATGGCTTATTCTATACGGTTTTGTCATGGCACATACACGCTTCCATGCATCATGATTTTTCTTCTGAATGCAGTAGCGCATCTGGACCAGCTGCACTGCTAATATTGCAAAAGCTTCCATCTATTCAGCTTACAGATCCCCACCCGTTGTTTGAAACCTCCTTCCTCCAAAGTGACTCTATCCCAACTCCCGAGATCTTCGCCATCCCCAGCAACTCATCTTCCTCTTTCTACCCAGGCTGTTTTAGAGGAAAGCCCAGCTGTTTGCCAGGCCCCCGCGGTAACCTCAGTAGGGAAAAACAGCCTTGCTAGTGATGTTTTACATGAGCGGATGGATAACATTCATTCCTTAGTTGCTCTCTTTATTTCCATCCTTTGAAGCTGTACCTGGGACCGGAAGGTGAGAAAATAAGAAAGGTCTGTCACAACCCTTTGCCTGTTTTTCTATGAGGCCAAAATTACTCAAATGTTGCCTTTCGGTAGATTCTTAACCCAGAAGCTTGAGCGAAAGAGTGGAAAAAAAGTATGAAACACTAAAATAACTTCAGTAGCACTGGAGACTTATATTGCTAGATTAAAAAAAAAGAAAAAAACTGTTAACATCTGGCTGCTGCAATCACTATAAAAAAATACAGTAGTATCTCAAAGGCACTTTCAGGTTGCTTCAGCATTGACTGCCTGCCTGTGTAACTGTACACAGGCACAGTTACAGCAGGTACCCTCGGCAAAGGCCTTAAAGGCATGAAAAGGGACCCCTGCAGAAATAAAGCATGCTCCCTCAGGTATGGCATACAGCTGACTGGGCTCTGCTCTCTCTTCTGCTCCCTCCTCCTACCGTATCTGATTTTTATTGCTCCTTCCATCATCCTCCCGTGCTCATGCCACATGCATTTCCTCTTCTCTTGCAGGCTCTGTTGCTAAGCAGCCTGAGCCGCAGGCATGGCTCTGAGCCTGCGCTGGAGCAGGAGGCTGCAGCGGAGGTGCCCCAGGAGGCCTCCCTCCACCCTGCGACAACATCCACTAACAGGCAGAATAAGATGCTGTTGTAGAGAACAGCGAGCGACAGAGACCTTTTCTTGGCAGATAGCTTTCGCCTCCCTGCTAACAGAAACTGAAAGAGACTTATGTTCAGAATTGAAGTACTCTGAGCTTTAGCTAATCCTCAGAATTTGAATTAAAATGTGTAACAATCCCCTGCTAGCTTCAGCTATCAGGTAATTATATGAGCAGTAACAAGGCCCAACACCAAACACCTTCAGACCACACATGGCTTTAATCAAAGCTTGTATTTCAATTACCCTTCAAAAAAGCCTAGAAGCCAGGAACAGTTTGGAGCATAGAGAGAGCACCAGCGACCACCTAAGAACTGAAGTTACGCAGCACCATACAACATGGCTGGCAGGCACAGACTGGGACACAATGCATTAGAAAAAAGGCCCGACTTGAAGGGTGTTTTATCCCTTCTTACAGCTACCCGAGGTATCAGCAAGGAGCTGCAGATAAACAGCAGCTAAATCCAGGTAAGAATAGTTTCCACAGGTCACGGAGTTGAGGCCAAGGAATATGTAATACGTATCAAGTATCTTTCTTCCCCTTGAACCCAAAATTTCATCCTGCTATTAAAAATTCATGTACTGTGGGTTTCTCCATTTTTAGGTCATTTTGGAAGGGACAGGTAGTATAGCCTCTTTCAAGGCCTTCCTAGCACAATCACAAGTTAATAAGCACACACCAGCTAGCCAAGGACTGTGTTCAGCATTAGCCAGCAGATTGCTTTTAACCACAGGTAGGGAAAAAACCTGTTCTAATACTGTCTCCTGTAAGGAAAAACACCACCAACCAATTCAGTGGGTATTCTGTTGCTTGTGTCATTAATACATACAGCCCCTGTTTAAAAGCAGACAGCTTCAAGTTTACATTTCAGTGTTTATCACACCTTAACCCTCTAACTAAATGTATTCAGGGTGGCAAATTGCTGCTTAAGAGTTTCAGACTGGACATTAGGAAAAGCTTTACCAGAAGGGTAGTGCAGCACTGGAACATGCTATGCAGACAACGGTGCATCTCTCCATCCTTGGAGGCCTTCAGGAGACTAGAAAAAGCAATTGTTTGCTAACCTGAGGCTGACATTAACTTTTCACTCAGAGGAGAGCTTCAAGGGTCCTTTGAAAACAGGGTTTATAGAGGATGCCACATGTAACTCCTTTTAGAGAAAGTTAGTGATCACTTTAGTCCATTTAGTCTTCCAGCAGAACATTTTATTCTCATTAAGGACAAGGAAATATCAACCAACAGCTCAATTAACATGACACAGATTAAACAAGCCCTGTTAAGCATTTTCTACTTAACATGTGAAAAAAGAGTCTAAAGACATCCGATATGTCTGAACTGTTCACATTAAAACTTGAGCTCATCCTTTAGCGTAAGCTCAGCTGATGTTGCTCCTGTGTATAGCAAAAGGTGGAAACAATTTAAGTTACCAGAACAGCTGTGTTTAACAGGTATTGAAGCGCTGGAGTTTAGACTGCATTTACTGGTGTGCTATTAGACTGCTTTCCTTGCATCTCTTCAGAGTCTCAGGCAGACTTGCAGAAAGCCACAGCAGAAAAACGAACTTCCCCTTTTTCACGTTCTGTAAATTGTCTGCAGATCTTAGCAGAATCCTTGGAAGATAAGAAAAATGCTGTTTAGACTATCAGAATACACTTGCTGTTAGAGACCAAGTCTTTGCAGCTCCTCTCTGGGTCCCACCAACTAAGTTACAAGGTCTCATAGGACCAGCTAATACGCTTAACAGATATCTAGCTCTGTGGCACAACACTCCCTCGTTACCGTGGTATAAGAAGGACCACCTTGTACAGCAAGTAGGTACAGCCACTATATACTGAATGCATGCCTCTCACCCTTTTATAAGCCGTTTTCACAGAAAAAAGCAGCTAGGGAGAAGTCCTACCTTCAATAGCAAGTCATCTGAGCTTGTGCCATGGTTTACAGGAAATGGCATACGCCCATCTGTGAAAGAAAGTCCAATCACTCGGTGTACTTAATATTACTTCTGAATTAGCAGAACTGAGCATAGTGGACCCAAGAAACAAGTACACACATGAAGATACTTGGGAGGTCAGAATAATTGTCAATACATAGCTTGAGCGAGAAGGGGACTAAGTATTCCCAGCTCTACAGGAGATGACATGCTTTACAAGAGGGCCTAGGCCTTCAGTGCAACCCATCTTCAGTTAACATCTTCAAGTGAAGGTACAAACTATGTATTGGCTTTGAGAGCCTCAGTAAACAGCGTAACTAGCTCCAAGTATCTAGCCTGAGCCCACAGTGCTGCTGTACAGTGTAAAGTAGGCCCAGTCCAACTCCAGAGTTCTCAGGACCTTACCCAATTCATACAGATGTCCATCCACATTGACAAACAGAATGAAGTGGAAGTTCACACTGTTGTCCTCAACCTTAGGAGAGACCATTAGATACATTTGTTAGATTGAAAAAAGCTTAGTACTGTGAACCCTACTTGTGACTACAGGACAGAGATCTCAATAACAAAGCAACAGCAAAGGACTACAAAGTTCAGCTGAAGAGGTCTCTGCGAGACCTCTACAAGGTCAAGAGCCAAAAATCCTCATGTACAGTCGCATTTTCAGACTGGGTGTGAACCCAAATTTTCAATCCACATTTGAGGAAGAAACCCTACACAAGCATTCACCCATGAGTCACTCATTTCTCTTTCCTCATGAGCTGTAACAGCTACCTGCCAGACAAAAAATTGTTTTGCTCTATCACCTTCATCAACCCCTTCTCCCAAGATTTTACGTGTATCTTACCCGGCATTGTCCTTCTTGTGCAACCGAATTGTGGACTTCCTGTATAGCCTTAAGAGAAAGCAAGATACAAGTTACTACATCCTTAAGTGCCGATAGCTGTCAGCAGTTTGCGTAGTTCATATACCTTATTATTTGCAAAATGCTTAGCTCTCTCTTCAGGAGACAGATCAGCTGTTTCATCAAGAAACTTCTTCAGGGCAGACCCCTCATCTGCACAAGATCAAAGATTTTATTCAGTATAGGTAGAGCATCAGTTACAGTTCAGATGCAGCCCAGAGTAATCAATGCTTGTTGCACTAACTAGGAGTCATTGCATTCAGCTTGGAACTATCTCCAGCATAAGCATATTCTAACTGCCACTTGAAGTAAGCTTGTTATTCAGAAGCTATTAACAACAATCTACACAAACAGCCAGAGTTCAAGTGCTTCAGGGTACTCTGGATGCTTGTCTTAGAACTCACTTTCAAATGGGATTTAGCTTTTCTGATTCTCCCCCTTGCAGATTTGGCAGAGGTGTTCAGTCCTATTTTAAAGAAATTCAAGAGAGGTGCCAGCTGTGAGAACACTTAAGTATCAACTAACAGAATATGGGTAGATGAAATTAAGTTGTCTCCCTGCCTTGAAATGAACACAGCCCTTGTCATGCTAGGCTTACTTTGGTTTTCCAGAACATAAATTAGTAGTGCAGTACTAAGATGCATTGAGTTCTGCTCTTACATGCAGCATTCATTTCACTCAAGAGTGTGCTATTTCAGAAAATCCTCTCAAGAAGAGTAAAGCAAAGCTACTCCCATTTAGCCTTCCATATGTATTTTCCTTTATTTAAGAAGGAATCCCACGTCACCCAAAGGGTTCAAGTTCTCTTGGAATAATAAGAAGTTGTATTTTGCAGATCTCTAGTCTTTGAACAATAAAGTATTTCCTGGACTCAGTGACAGCCCTTTTTTAACAAGAACTTGCCATCCTGTTTCCTAGGAGTTTCCAGCCACCAGCATTGAGTTTGGTCTTACATGCAGCATTCATTTCACTCATCAAGAGTGTGCTATTTCAGAAAATCCTCTCAAGAAGAGTAAAGCAAAGCTACTCCCATTTAGCCTTCCATATGTATTTTCCTTTATTTAAGAAGGAATCCCACGTCACCCAAAGGGTTCAAGTTCTCTTGGAATAATAAGAAGTTGTATTTTGCAGATCTCTAGTCTTTGAACAATAAAGTATTTCCTGGACTCAGTGACAGCCCTTTTTTAACAAGAACTTGCCATCCTGTTTCCTAGGAGTTTCCAGCCACCAGTTGCCAGTTTTATATCCTTTTCTATAGGAAAAGAACCATCAAAACTATTACCTCTGCAGGAAAAGTCTACTTACAGACCCTTATCATCCTATACTACTTTCCCAGCAAGACAAAAACATGTTTTAGACTGATTTACAGGCTACCCTGAACAAGTCTGTTTACATTAGACGTAAGTGGCATGAAGAACTTTATCTCTTCAGTTGACATCATCAACACCAATGTCAACAGCTACTTCTGAACATGATACTTCCTAATTACAAATATACTTTGGCCAGTCCTACTATGTGCCCTTTTCCTCTTGCATTGCTCACTAGGATGATACCTCTGCAGCTACCAGACAGGAGTCAAAGTACATTCCCTCCTGTGATTCAGGCAGTAAGCAAGACCACACACCCCTCTCCCAAGAGCTGAAAGACCCACTTACCAAGTGAAGCAGTACTGCATGCCTTAACTTGGCTTGCATGAAAGCCCCAGGTGTCTCCCATAGCTTCGGCTATAGGAGAATGGAAATTCAAGCACTTCAGAACACGCATACTCACCAAGCTTCAGTTTGCCTTTGTTATTAGCAACTGCATGTATCAGACCAATTGTCCCGCAGGAATTACTGACTGTCTGCTTCAGGAAATACACTTTGGAACTGATTTCTTGGTCCTTTATTTTCTCAGTCTGTTGTTTCCTGAAGTTCTCATGCTGTAAACATATAAGTGTCTTAAGCATTTCACCACAGTGATATTTTTATTGTGCAAACTACTAGACAAATGAGTTGTGCAGGAGAATCAATACTAGGATTGGACAAAGATTTACCCAGGAAGTCATCTTTGTGGCATAGGTCCAGTAAAGCATCATATGTCTATACTGGATGCAGGCCAAGTCTTAATGGACTACCTGCATGACTCAGTCCTATCCAAAAGCACTGTTCTTAGCCTCTCCATCTGTTCTGTACACTGGAAATAGCTTGGGATGAGAAATCATGTAATGGTAGGCTCTTTTATATCTTCTCTCAATTGTTTTGGTTCATTTAATGAGACTACTTAGCATGTCTCTGCAATAGCTTGCCTTTGTACCTTTAGGTTACTTTGCTTCACGAACCTCTCCCCATCAGAATAACATATAGACAAGTGTAAAACCACCCATCACTACTGACAAGCTATAATCCTTCCTTTGAAGAACCTGTTAAATATACTTTATTTCAAAGTCCATCTCCTCATCTACTGCCTTAGCATCAATTGGACTAAAAATATTAATCATACAGAAGTAAATTACGCCTCTCCAGATGCAATGATTCAGCATGGTAACAGAATCGCTATTCCTCACACCCAAGATGGCTAACGTTTTTTCCTCAGTGCGATACACAAAGCAAAGTGTAAGAGAAGAACTAGAATAAAAGGCCTTGTTTTGTTGCCCAGTGCATTTTAGTTCAGGCTATTTGGAGGCTGGGGCCAAGCACCCAGCACATACTACCCACCACCCCACCAGCCACCTACAGTCCCAGTGCAAGCCAAACCCACTCCCAACCATCCGATGCTTGGAGAGATGACACAGGCACGCTCCTGACAGCAGCCAGCGGGTATAGACATTGCTGCTGACAACAGCCTGCTTTTTATTCCAGGGGCATTTGGACCAGACATGGCCTAGTTGGCCTACCCGGGGTGACAGCAGAAACCCTGTACGTCATCAGCTGTCACACAGCACCAGGGGCAGCCGCAGGCTCGGCACCTGAACCCAGCCATTGCCTCCAGGGCTGCAGCCCAGAGGACCTGCGAAGGAGGACAGTCCAGGAGGGACACAACAGCCGCCCCCCCGGGAGCGCCCCCACCCCGCGGGGGGCACCACCCACCGCCTACCTGCTCGGTGAGGGGGAACAGCAGGAGCATTGCGCAGGCCGGGA